TAGAGATATTGTGTTGTTTGAGGAAAACGAAGGATGTAAGTTCCATTCCAAAGAGATTGATTAAGAAAGTCGTACTGTGAGTAGCGTATCTCTAAGGTACTTTAATGGAACCATCCCTTCATTTTCTATCAAGATCTCAGTTCAATACCCCTTAAAATTTATAAAAAAACCATCCCAAAAACTAACGCACACACGCACACACACATACACACACACACACACACACACACAAACGCAAACACACACACACACACACACACACACACACACACACACACCATTTTAAAAACAAAACAACAAAGAAACAAATGGAAATCGAACTCAGATCTTCAGCGCGCGACGACAAAACGTCTGCTAACCGCTACACCACAGACGCCGGTTGGGCGGGGTAAGTAGACATAGAAGCGTCATTGCATGTCTGCTGATGTGTAAGAATCCGATTGGGTGAGAAACTTTAAGCTGGGAGTGGGACGAGAGACGTCTGTCTGAACCACAACGCGTTCTCTGCTCTGAGGACGTCTGTTCGTCGCTTTATTTCTCAAAGGAGCGTCTGAGATTGTAAAAGTTAATTTGTGCCCGACACTTTCCAACGTCATGACACCTCTGCTCAAATATGACAATGTCCCGGTCGACAGTGTTATTCATTATTCACGAATGTTGCCCTCAAGTGGCAGATTTTGAACAAACAATAATGGTCATTCCTTCTTCTTGTATGCCCAGTTTCTCTTTTCATGGATATTAAACTAATGGGCACTTAATAATAATGCCAACAGTAATAACAATTAAAAAACCCAAAAACAAAACATTTAGTACATTTTAGAAGAGGTTTTCCAGCGCTCGCAACTGCATAAGGTTATATGAGCACCAAGGGGTGGATGTCAACAGAGAAGTCCTTAAAGGGAATCAGACTTATTCTGCTCACCGTTCTAGCCTCAACAGCACAAAGTCTGCTTCGACTATCAAGGCACCCCGGAAATAGCGGGTCTCAAGAGTGTGACAAACATACAAAAGAATTAGAGAAAAAATGACGATAGTAAGGATTAGGAAAGAACAAGCAGCAGTTATTTATTGTGTTGCAGTTCAGGCACAGTTATGAGCATGCCATTGATGAATCAGCCCATTTACAATTACAATTATACTGTACATAAGAACATGGTTGATGTCCCCCTTTGGGAATGACCAAGAGACACTTCAATCAGTAACACAGCCAGGGGGTGTAATAATATTAATAATAATAATAATAATAATAACAACAACAACAATAATAATAATAATAATAATAATAATAATAATAATAATAAGAAGAAGAAGAAGAAGAAGAAGAAGAATGATGATAACTAAAAATAACAATGAAAACAACAACAACAAAAATAATGATATTACAAAACAACAACAACAACAACAACAACAACAATAATAATAATAATAATAATAATAATAATAATAATAATGATTATGTTGATGATGATGATAATGATAATGATAATAATAATGATAATGATAATAATAAAGCGTTTGTGTTCCTCCACAAGTTAATTACTCCTTTGTGTCAGTTTAACTGAAGCCGATCGGTTGCTTGGAAAAAGTAGAGACTTTAGAACTCATTGTCACTGATTGTCGAATGTCCCTAAGTAAGAGACAATAAAACTGGTTATGTCGCTGGGTGTTAGAAAACAGAGCAAGAAAACTGAAAAGAACAAGTCTCTCAAATGAAAGATGGTAAGCCATCTTTGTAACTTTCTCATTCTGTCCTTTTTTTTTTTACTCTCTGAAAAAGTGTGAAGTTGTATGGGTTTAACACCCCTTGCAACACAGTACGCTTATCAAAGAGGCAGGACCACGAATTCAGTGTCTATCGCCGATAGGACGGAGCCAAATGTGAGGCAGCGTGGTGGAATCAGGCTCTCGTCAATTTTTGGGCATGTAGAGTTATTGGTATCAACCTAAAGCTTGTTCACCTGTCTTTATTTGGATGAAAAAAGTATCCATTTATCTTGAATGCAAGTCGAGATATTTGCAATTGAAGGAGGTGGGGTCACCTGTTTTCAGATGTAAAATTAGTGAGAAAATGGCCGCCAAAGATTAGTTATTTCCTTAGCTTAAGAGCCTGTTTTAACTTAAAATGTACATTTTTTGTGCCTTTAATCATCGTTTTTCAGAAAAATCCCCACAGAAATGAGTTCTTTAATGGACATGAAAGGTGTTGAGCCAAAACAAAAAAATTTGATAAAAATTCACAAACCTGCGGAATAAAGCAGGGTTCTTCAATTTGATTATTTTGACGAGCGCCTGATTCCACCACGCTGCCTCACAAATGGTAACGTTCATGTTTAGCGCCTTTGCCAAGGACACACTGTCGGACAGAGCTAAGTCTCGGAACCCCAAATATGGGTGGTTGGCGGGTGCTCTGGTGCGGTTTGCTCCTTCTTTCCTATTAAGCATCTATCTTCCTGATCTCTCCTCCTTCATTTTTATTTTTGTTACTCTCTTGTAACACCTCTAATCTTCGGCCCCTTAATGAGCTTACTGTGTTGCAAGTGCCGAAAACTCTTACAAAAAACAACTAAATAATAAAATAATGAACCCCCAAATCCATAATCTCATGATTACATTGGTAGTCTGACCACCACAATACCGACATCACATCTTATCCTCCACTTTGGTTAATGCAAATAGCAATACGAAGACCATTGCTTACCAACATTGTTTTAGAAAATGATGCAAAATCGAAGATAGTCTGTGTATTTATAAAAAGAACATTTCATTGTTGTAGTTATAGTAAGTTTATTAGAGAGTACGGCTTCGGAAAAGAACACAGGCATCGACCTAACAAACAGTGAAGGCAAGTAAAGTTTATGTTCAGTGTTCACTGGCAGAATATTGACACTATCATCTCTTACATGATAACAGAGTTTTTCAGAGAAGGAAGCATGAAGAGGATTCCAGAGTTATGCAAAGAGGGAATAGATGTTGTATGGAGATAAAGGATATCTTGATCCCCTAAACAAAAACAAAAACAAAATAACAGCAAAAGAAATCTCTTTCTACTTCAAGGAATACAATGAGTAAATAGATGTTGTATAGTGTTGGAATGATACCCTGATCCACTAAAGAAAAACAAAAACAAACGAAAAATTAAAAAAACAAATCACGAACAAAAGACACGTCTTTGTGGTATAAGGAATATGCAAGGATACAAATGCTAAAGAGAGGTTTTATTTGAAATAAGAAGGGATCACTTTAGCTAACTGTTACTATCGCTTTCATGACACTCCAACAAAACGGATCAGACATGGTGACGTCAGACAGCATCCTCCAGAGACCACTTGAGGATGATCTCGTCAGGAGAAAGAAAAGTGTGAAAGGGAACAATGTTAAAGCCGAACGCGGGTCCAGAATTCTTTTCTTAACTCAAAGAGTCCACATTTCCTTTCCCCCCAAATATATTATGATCAATTCACACAACACAATGATAGGGGTTCCTTGTGACCCTTTTAGAAAATTGGCCTCAGACGCCAATTCGCCTGTCTTAGCTTGCACGCGTTGAAGGTGGTTTATACGAGCTGCAAGAAATGAAAAGTGTGGCCTTTATATTGGGAGTTCGATTTTTATAGAAACCGCCGAATAAAGTCGTCGTTCTTTCAGTCTACTGCAAAGGTTTTATTTTCGTTGCTTTAAGTTTGCATATTCTTGCGATTTCGTTACCTGAAATGTCTAAGAGGCGTATAGACACGCCCCCTTTGTTTTTGTGGCTAGTGCTGACCTCTTCCTTAGGTTGAAATGCGAATAAAAGACTGACTCGTTCTCTCTCTCTCTCTCTCTCTCTCTCTCTCTCTCTCTCTCTCTTTCTTTCTCCCTCTCTGACTCTGTCGCCCCCTCCTCTTCATCTCATCAAAATATCGGATTGTGTTATAAATAATGGACAACTGAAATCTTCCCACAGGTAACGGTTACATCGAGGGTTCAGAACTTGATCAGTTCCTGTACGAGCTTGTGACAAGCGTCAACACACAGGACGTTGGACCAGAGGTGAGTAGAAAAATCGTGTATGTTCGTCGCAAGTTTACATGTCCCGTCTTGTGTTCCTGTGTTCTGACTTGCCCGGGTCTGGTACACGTCTCCCAGTCAAACGTTTGTGTCCTCAAGGCTATTGTATAACTTAGTAAAGAACTGCACAGATAAGAGCCAGACTTGATTATTACTGTCTTATAGCACAAACATTACTATACAAGTAACTAAAAACTTGCTTAGAACAGTTTTCTATGAAATTTCTTGTAGAGTTACTGGCTTTTATTATTTCATGTTATTGCGTCCCATGAAAAATACTAACCATGGGGTCAGGGAAGAAAATATCTAAAAGAAAAGGAGAAATATGCAAATCAGGCAACCAATACGGCAGTCGATAAACAACAGCTGGTGATAAATTTTAAAGCATGATTGTGCCATCATAAATGTATATAGGTAAAGAAAATCAGGTATCTTCAATTACAATAGGAAGTTGTTACTCCTATTGTTACCTTCACCAACAAAACGTAGCCTTAATGCAATAGAAAATGTTTTGAAGAGGCACATACTCTTCTCATAAACAATTTCGCTATTTTCATGATCATTAATACGGATAAATAAAGTATGTAATGATTCATAAAATACTTACATTTGGTTCAATATAAATAGTACGAAATGTGCACAATATGCTCTGGAATGCACATCTAAGATTCCAGCTCATTAGAAAAAAGTGTTTTTTACGGAGTTATCATGTATGAACGATTAGTTAACAGCCAAAAATGAGGAGGGAAATCAATCTTCAGCAAAAGCATTTAAAGGAAAACCAGACGTTTACTTTAGTTCCCCCCCAAAAAAAAACAACAACGAAAAAAAAAAAAAGATAAAAAGAAAAAGAAAAAAAAGAGGAAACGACAGCTACAAACCCCGAGCTCATAGCTTTCTCACCCTGCTTGCTGCTGTGTATTGTCCTGGAAGTCTTTCTCCATTTACCCTGAGTTTTTTGTTTTCTATACTAAGTGTAACAAAAATACATGTAATTACCCTTTTTTCACGAGTTGCTGAGACTAACCAGGCTTGCATGAAACGTATTCCGAAACACTTGTTGGTAATTTGTTCTTAATATAACCCACTATTTTCAGAAGACAAGTTGGTGATGGACCAGCATTAAGCAAAATATATGAATAGGGCCACTTTGGCACTTTCTACACCCTTATCAACATGTTGACCTACCTTAATGTCGAGATAAGTACCATCATCTGCCTGCTGGGACGTGTATCCCCCTCATGTCGGGGTGGCCCAAACAGTGCAATATTTGTATAGTGTTATTAGTTTTAAAACTGAGCTCAATCACAAATAGGAGGGCGTATTATCTGGTTGCAACTTGGCACATTTACCTAAGATCATAAGAAAGGTCATAGTCATGATCATGCTTGGCCTAGGGGACCTCTTTTCGTACTGTATTGTATGTCTATGAGAATGGTACGTTCAGGAATTGGTGTCTTTGGCGTTTCTTTAAGATAACGGTGACATCTCGTCAGAAACAAATAGGGACAGGAGTAAAATTGAACTGAAATAGACGGATCAAACAACATCAAAGTATCCACTGACATCCTTGGCAGACAGCACCCTAGTTAATAGAATTCTAAAGGCACAACAGGAGAAAGAAGATGAAACAGTTTCCATAATGCAAAACGCCCAAAAGAGAAGCCATTAAAGAAAAACCGTAGGCAAGACTCTTCCTTTCAATCTTTTGATACAACGATTTCCGTGTTTCCCGTTTCTGTTGGATGAACAGAGTTTTTATGTTCCTTTCTCAAACAGTTCTTCCTCAGGTTATATTTTGGGTCACTCTTTATGATACAAAAAACAGCTCAAGATGCTGAGGCTTCTTGAAATAACTCATTAAAATCCTCTTTGGGCATGCGGTATTCGTTCTAAAAAGGACGTCATAAAATCTTTAAAAGAATCCACTTAAAACACAAACAATTCCCCACTGAGACAAAATTGTCTGAACAGAAGAGAAAATTTCCCCAAGAAGGACGTAAATCGTCTTTATTTCCCTGGTATCTCCCGTCGAACAATGTAGATAACGGAGGAATTTAGTTCAATCTGGACTTAATCATCAACAGAACAATATTGTCAACATGGCGAAGTCTGAGGAACGGTTTCGATCTGAGTGTAAATTGTAATTGTAAAAGGATTTTTATTTTCTCCTAATGGTCCGATTAGTCAGGCGCGTCATCATGCCAGGAAAAATAATGAAGGCCAAAGCAGTTAAAATACAATCGTTTGTTGAGGTGGAATCGTATTTGCAATAGCTTCGTGGAATAGAAAGAGTACGGATGAGCTTTTTCTATCAAGCCTTATGATCCTTTCTGCCTTTGGGCATACTCACTACCGGCGTCTGTGGTGTAGATGTTCGGAGCGTCACCATCGGAAGCTGAAAGCATGAGTTTGATTCCCGATTGGGGAGAAGGTTTATCGGGTATCTCCGTCTGTCCTCCGTGGCTGTGTATCCTTCTCAGCCTGGGTTGGCCTTGACAGGCAGGCAGGATCGAAGCTTGCCTTCTAAATGATCTACATTGTGTCGATGGGGGTGTACATCTCCTACAGTTATACTACTGTATTCTGCATATTCGGTGTCACCAGGTAAAGTAATAGACTTTCCCTTTTGTACTCCTGTCAACGTATTTTCTCACAGCGTCTCATTCAGAGTTTCCCGCTTTTCTCTTAACTATTGCTGCTCTTTGCTTTCTCTTTCCTTCACTTATTTCATTCCCTTTGTTTGTCACAGTTTACTATTTCTCTTCTATTCTCTCTATTTGTCTGCCTATCTATTTATTTCGCACGACGGAACCCAATCTCACATATACACACCCGCACCCGCGCATCCAAAAATGCACACACACACA